CCGCACAGCCATGTGAATCCTGACCTTCTTTGGTCCCTGCCTTGCCCAGCAGTGTTCCCTACAGGCTGGGAGGAGCCGGGGCTATAGCTGGTACCTCTTGTCCGCCTGAACCCCGCAGCAGGGCCAGTCCTACGTTCTGCGGAGCCTGACATTCATATAATTGTTGAAATCTTTCCTTACATGAAAAAGGAAAAAAGGCGTCACTTAATACAATACAAATGTGGCACAAATGTGACGTGTGACACCCACAGCATCTTTTGGGCCCTGAAGTGTTTTCAGAAACTGAGAACAAAGTCCAAATATTATAACAAAAGAGGCTCCCATATCTCCTATGGAGCAGAAAATTCCGAAGGTTCTGGGAGCTGGGAGCCAGGAACAGTGGATGGAGACCAAATACATATATTTCTTAAAAGTCACAACATCTCAGGCACATAAATGAGTGTTTTGGGGTTTCTTTCGAAATGAGAAAAACACATTTCACCAACCACAAAAGCGAAAATGCTCAAAACCAAAATATAAGACAATTCAGAAAAATTACAGACTCTTTTTATGAGCACTAAGGCGACCCTGCCTGTCGCACCTGCATGACACCTGTTCCCCACACTTGTTGGCTGAGACTCTTTGTCTGCCTCTTTATAGGAAAATAATTTGTTATATTAACAAATATTAATATTATACCAATCTTCGTGATTAATTATAAATATATTATACATAAAATAGAGAGACTACAAAGAAGATACAGTATTTCCACTGGCACAATTGATGGAAATTTCTTGTTATTTTTATAATTTAAGAAACTAAAAAATGTACAAATATTATTTATATGTGAATATAAAAGAAACTTTCTTTCAATCCCACAACTTGTTAGTGGGAATGTCTAAAATGCTTAGGTTCATTGTCAAATCTGGGAAACCTTGGTGACATTTCTTCCACGAAGAGCGGGGAGATGAGGGGTTATTTCCACACAGGCCTTGAGCCCTTCCTGGGGCTGTGAGAAGAAGGCAGTGCCGAGTGAGGGCTCCTGCATTGTGCTTCTGTGGGAAGTCTGGCCTCGTGGGGTCCCCACTGAGTGGGGCAAGGGTGTCCCTTTACCCACCCCGTTTTGCCCGTTTTGCGTGGGTCTGGGCTCCACGGCTGGTCCCACAAGGCCCTTAGATCCGTGGAGACCAACACTTGTGCTGCCCACGACCTAAAACCCTTCCGGGCAAAGGAGCTTTTCGCTCTCAGCTCTCCTTTCTGGGTTCCACCCTCCACTGTTTTGGGGTCTGAAAACTTCTTTCCTGCCAGCACCTGAATGGTGTTGAGAACATTTAAAATATTCTTTTCCAGAAAGTTCAGTGTTTTTCAGCCGGAGGACGGGTCCCGCCGAGTCACCAGGTCTCGCCTGCTTTTTGCTTCCTGCCGGGTGACCCTGCTGTTGATTCACACATCATTTGGAAGGTGATCATTTCAGAACCACATCCCGAGGAAGCGCTTGAACTCTGGGTGCCTCCGTATGTTGGCCTGCAGCGTGGGGTGGGGAGAGGCCGGGGCAGAATGCTTTCCCAGCTCCCGCCTCACCCTGCTCCCCCACGGCCCGCGGGGTCCAAGTTCCCCTTCTGCGTGGCCGCGGCTCCCTCTCCGTCACCCGCCGGCTTCCTGTTGG